CCCAAAACAAGAAAACCGTAAACAGTTCGATTAAAGCAGTGAGAGCAGCATCAGTTGGTGTCTCGCTGACTCGCAGCAAATGCCAAGCTTGCTAACGTGTTCAGGTTTTTTGCAACCAAAACATCACACGTGGCAGATGGTAACACTCAAGAAAGACAGCCTTCGACTCCGTCAAGGCACGCCATGACACTCTCTCTGTCTGTGTGCCAAAACACTTGCATGTCACTAGCAGAGTGGCACAGTTCAAGCCCTCTCCCGCATCAATTCACTCGTCATGTTCGAGACTGCGGTGTTTTTCAAGACTGCTTCCACGGTCCATCAAGTTCTTGTGGTTCGCATCGGCACACAGCAGAATGCAGGTCTGAGCCTCTGCTCATGCTTTCTCCAGCGTGTATCTTGCAAAAATGTCACCACGAGTGCAGGCGGCACTTGCCGTCGCAACGCATACTCTGAGCCCTCGGAAGCAAAATGGTCGCAAGAGCGCCATCAACTTCTTGATTCACGTAGTTGGAGTGCATGCAGACTCCGACATCATGAAGCATTCATTCGAGATTTGATTAGAAGATTCCAATTCTCCATACATGATGCAAAGCAGTCGTGTGTGCTCTTGGACCTGTTAGCTGATTAGGCGTTGAAGCTAGTGGACCGATTTGGTGCAGTGTTTCTTTTCCAGGTTACAGTTGGTCATGTCTCAGGAAATATCCTTTGGTGCTGAGCTTGTTCGTGTGACTGTAGCTTTCAGAATGCTTTCANNCATGACATGAGTCTCTCTTTGACTTGTCAGCTCAAGCCTAGCCCTTACCAGCCCATGCAGTTGGGTAGAATTGTTGGGGTTGGGGAGGCTTGGAGATGCGTTGCCGCACAAGAGCGCACCGCGGTGGGACTGAGTGGAGCTGAGTGGGGTGGAGTGGGGTTAGGTGGGATTTGGTAGGGTTGGGTGGGATTGAGGAGGGGTTGGGCATGCATTGGTATCTAATTAAAAATTAAGAATTCATAAGAATTAATTACAGGCATTGGCTAAACTGTGGTTTTGGTGATCCTTGCACGTTTTTCGCATTTTGCAGCAGGTGTGGTAGCAATTTCGTAGTAGTCGAATTACTTTTGAAGCATTTTGGCGGTCTCTAGTACCATGGGAAAGCAGATTTTAGCACATGTAGTTGGAACACATTTGTTTGAGTCTGTACCTGCTCTGTTGCTGCGTGTTGCCGTCTGTTCTGTGCAAGTTTAGCAGGATTCCACAGTGTTGGCGCTTGAGAGACACCTGAAATCTTAAGCCCTATATCTTAAACCCGCAAAACCTTCAAGCCGAGAAGGAAAGTGACGTGACGAAGTCTTGAAACAAAAATATTTGTAGCCTACAAGCTGCTCTTGTTTGCGGTCTTATGGTTTCGCAAATTTAAACAGTAGGTGACAATGGGACCTAGTGGTGCCAGTTACAATGTGAAAGTTTTGGGTCGGTCGTGCTGGTGAGCTGTACAGATTGGTCACAGGGGCATTCCTCGTGATGCTGCGTGGGGCGTGTGTGCGGTCTTTTCGGCTATTTCTTGGCGCTATAGCCTCAGATAGACACAGGCAGGCCCACTGTTTGCATGCTTTGGCAGGTTGCTAAATTCCAACTACAGGTGTGACAGGCCGAAATCAATGGAATGGTAGCTGCATATTTGGAATTAAGAGGTCCATCGCCACTGCCTCTTGGTGGTGCGTTGTTTCTGTCCGAGAGTTCACTTTTGGGATGTCCCAGACGTACGCGTCGGATTTAACAAGTGCTTAGCAGAGTTTCGTTATGCGAAGACTACAAACTGGGCTTCTACCTGCGGGGTCCTAGACTTAAAGCAGGACGCCCTTTTCTCGAAGCTACAAACGGGCTGCGGTTTTTGAAGCCACAAAAAGGGTGCGCAGTGGCGAAGATAGCTTGGATGTTGGGTTTAGGGTATCTGTTTGGCGCCCCGTGCAATGGTCGGACACAAACTTTATCCAGACACCGTCTTTGCCAAGCATGTGATCCACTGTCGAAGTGTTTTTTTGCCATGTTTTTTACAAGGCCGAGGAAAACTCTGTGTCTCATCTAAAACACTGCTGGGCAGAGAGCCAATTTGACGAGCTCTAAGAAGGCAGTTTTACATGGCTTGTAGATGACTCTTCGGGTTTGGGAGGCGCGTTTTCTCTAGACTTTGGTGCAGAAAGAGACAACCGGTTGCATTTTCAGCTGTAGTCGCTCTGTTCACCGCTCCGAAGAAGGTAGATACAGATATTGAGTTAGACAAGCTATATAGAGGATGTAATGCACTGCGGACTTTCGGCATAGCAGCAAGCGCAACAAAGTAATTTTCGAGTCCGAAGTTCACCACGAACCCCATGTGAACTAACAGCCTGCCATCCTCGAATGTATAGCGCTTAGCGATTCTTCTTTAATTGATAATGTCTTTAGATGGGTTGACAATCGAAACGTTGAGCCTCCACCGGTTCGCTCGCAGACATACATTCGGGACTTTGGCTTCGTGCTGTTGTTTCCTTGCATTGCACCAGGATGGCTGTGTCGCAAGCAAAGGCTCTGGCCGTTGTGGTCGGAAGTCCGGCCCTGGGGGAGGTGCAGGTGGAGACGGTGGGGGAGTTTACTTTGCAGAGCCGCTATGCCAAGTGGCTCCGCCAGAACTTCGCTTGAAGCGACGGTGCATGGTAAGGCGAATGAAGTCTTCTTTGCATGGCAGCGAACACGTGCACTTAAGACTACTTAAGTGCATTCCTTCGCTTGCAGCTGCCAGCTGCTAGCAGCTACAGCACAGCGCAATGCGGTGTTAGCTTCTATCGGCATCATATGAAAGACAAGCATTTTGAACTCACCTACCGCGGCTGCAGCCAGCAAAAGAATGTGCTTGCTCACCGTCATCGACAGCCAGTGAGGTGTGATACATTCGGTTGCGTGTCTATCATTGTTACATTCGGGGTTGGAGATTGGGATCAGCTCGGATCCGTTCGATATCGATCATGCAAGCGTGATGACCCTGTCAGTCTTGGAGCAGTTCGGAAAATACCTTCCTGAGATTTCATTTGTTTTTTCAATAGGTGGTGCGACCATGGTCGTTCTATTTGTGGATGACGACGTAATTTTGCAGCTTCTTCGATTGATAGTTGCAGCACTGCCAGCACGGCAACCGAACGCGATGGCTCAAATTCTGCACGGAAGATTTAAGAATAGTGTGGTTTAGCCAGCCTTAAGCCCTAAACCCAACAAGCCTCAAACCCTAAATCCGAAACCCTTAACCGTAAGACCTAAATTCCCCACTCCGGGCATCATCTGCTGCAGCGATGCGGCAGTCCGATCTCGGCGTTTCGCCATGGACTGGGCAGTTCGAGGGCTTGGCAAGACCTGGGGATTGAAAGGCTCGCCTACGCTTTCGGAGTTTAGTTTTAAGCTTTAGGTCTAGGGCTTAGGGTTTAGGGTTTAGGGTTCATGGTTTAAAGGGACTGTTCAGGGTTTAGGGTTTATAGCGTGAGGGTTTCGGCTCATGTCGGGGTGGCTGTAGGGTGTAGACTTGCTTTCCGGTGAGTGGAAGGCGCTTTCTGCGGACAGGTACAGGGCAACTTTGCGCTTTCGTGAAGCTTTTCCGGGCCAGGCTGGAAAATGGGGGTTTGAGGGAGGCCTTGAAGGAGCAGAGCTGTTTAGGGTTTAGGGTTTAGGGTTTAGGGGCTCTTGAAGGAACGGTGTCCTTAACCCCAAACCATAAACAAGGCAACTAAGCTTCAGTTCGAGTTTCTTGAAATTGCTGGCACCTCTGAGTAGTGCTGCATGCTATAAGCCATGTGTACGCACGTAGTTGTAGCCGAAGGCAGCCGTTGTTCGAAAGCGCCTTGTTGGCTACTTGTTCCGTGTGTCGAGTCGTGCCCCAGCGGTTGATTTGCCGTTGTCAAGTCCTGGAGGGATGATGATGGTGCAACGACGCCATCATGGTCCCTGGAGCAGGAAGCACAAGCGTTTGTGGACTGGGTGATTGTCGAAGGCAGACTGCTAGTTTTGCCTTCGCTGGGCAGTTTTTCGGGGTTTCGTCCGATGTATGGCTGCTGCCAAGTAGATTTCGTGTCAACGCAACACGCTGCATCGAGCGCAGCCTCAGTTGGCGTGGGTGGGAATGTGCTCTGCGGGGCAGCTATGCTTTAAAGTCAAATGCCACTCATTACATGAACCACAAGTCTTACATGTGTAGAGAAGGGCAAGTCCGGAGGCTGTTTCTCTTGATGACAGCAGGAGCCAGCCACTGCAGCATCCTCCTTTTCCGCTGTCAGGTGGCATCCTTCCCAAAGCTTGCCAAGTTCTGGCCGAGCGTCCCGATATGGTTCAGGAAGAGCTGCATTAAGCCGGGTTGCCTGGCATCCTGCAGACAGACACAGGATCTTGGAGCCCGACCCTGCCAGGAGAAGGTCTATCGCCAAGCCCTGTCTCGGTGCCAAGTTAGCTGTGAGCCAGCGCCCTACGATGAGTTCCTGGGCCGAAGTTTTAGATTGAAGCACATTGTGTGTCTTCAGTGTGCTCATGACCCATATGGATTGTGGGCTCGGTGTCTTCCTTCTGCCCAACATGCAAGGATCCGAAGCATCATCAGCCACTGGGCATCACCAAGTTTTGGTGGTTCGACGCCGCACAAGATTGGGCTTGTAAACGACATCCCGAAACCTGAACTTTAACCCCTAAACCCCAAACCCTCAACCCTAACCAAAACTCGTTGTAGTCGTCAGGTGAGGATGGACTTTGGTCTCATATCGAATCTTTGGGTGGGCTGCAGGAGAGTCTTACAGCCGAGCACCATAGCCGCAGGGTTCGGGAATGCTATTGCGAACGTTTGTTTTAAAATAATATTCTCTCCGTTCTTCTTATGATTGTTCTTCTTATTCTTATTACTACTATCATTCTTATTACTATTAGGATGAGTATCGTTATAAGAAAAATAACAATCATACCAAGAATAACATTAGTAAGTATTTTGTCAGTATATGAGTAGTTTTATCGGTATTCGTATTATTATTATATTTATTATTATTATTCGCAAAGGACTATTTTTTGTTGTTACTAAGTCCAATTCTTATTCTTAGTCTAGTCTTTTGTACTTCTTCTTATTACCATCATCATTATTGTTGTCATTATTGGGGTTGTTGTTGTCGTTATTGTCATTCTGCTGAGTAATGATGCCAACTTTTACCCACCTTCCTGTAACATTATGAGTATAGAGTGGCGGGTTCTTCAGGGTGGCCCTCTGGGCTTTTGACTTTCGCATCCTTCACACTGAAAGTGCCGTGCTGGTTCTGTTTTGAGTTTTTGGGGTTTAGGGTTTAGGGGTTTAGGGGTTTAGGGGTTTAGGGGTTTAGGGGTTTAAGGTTTCGGGTTTACGGTTCAGGGGTTTAGGGTATAAGGTTTAGGGTTTAGGGTTTAGGGTTTAAGGTTTAGGGTTTAGGGGTTTACGGTGTAGGGGTTTAGGGTTTAGGGTTTAGGGGTTTAGGGTTTTAGACCCATCGGACAGGAGGAGCCTCTGTCGACGGGCAGTATCGGCCAGGCCGGTTCAACATGTGACGCGCAGGTGATGCCATGCAAAGTTGTGTACATTCATACAGCAACATACGTACTATCCACATGTGTCGATATTCGAGCGACTTTCCCTGCAGTGAGCATGCTGGAATGGTTGTTGCAGCTGTTGCAGAGTAGAAGAAAGAAATTATTCTGTTATTGTGCTTGCCTCCCATCCTTGTTAATTTGTAACCCTAGACCGCCACGGCCGCTTGTGTGGCAAGGTGCATTTCTGCGGAGATGGCCATGTCGTCAAGGCGCAACCGCTGAAGCACGCCGATCTCGTTTCCCAAACCCCCAATACCCAAACCGCCCCAAAACCCACCAGGTTTCTCTGGTGAAGAAGAAGCGGGAGATGAAGCGGCAGTTCTCGTGGTTGAAGGCGCGGAGAGAGGCACGGTGGAGCATTTCTGAAGAAGACGTGATGCCATGGCAGGCATTAGTGAAGCTACCAGGGCTTCAGAAGTCCATTCTCATGGATATTCAGTACGTGGTCGGGCCCATCAAGGACCGCGCGGTGGTTGCCCTTAGATTGCGAAGCCGGGTTTAGGGTTTTAGGGTTTGGGGCGTAGGGTTTAGAGCAAGCGAAGACTTGAATGCGAAAGATCTTTTCTTTTGCTATCAACCAAACCTTACGGGGGACAGCCCTTGGAATCCAGGACTCCACAAGTACTGCACAAACCCTAAACCCTAAATCCTAAACCCTAAACCCTAAATCCTAAACCCTAAACCCTAAATTTCTAAACTCTAAACCCTAAACCCAAAATCCTAAACCCAGGATCAAATCCTGGCTGAGTTTGACCTTCGCGGTGAGCAGCAGCGCCTCCGCTTGGCTGCAGCTGCTCTGCCCCGCGTCAGGAAACTGCTCGGGGAGGCAGGGCTTCTTCAAGCCAGTGAAATCCTTCAACCCTTAGGTTTGAGAGTTTAGGGTTTAGGGGTTTAGGGTTTAGGGTTTAGGGTTTAGGGTTTAGGGTTTAGGGGTTTAGGGTTTAGGGTTTACCCAGCCTTAGAGGCCCTAAACCCGAAACCCCAAACACTGGTCGCATTCCTCGCGCCAATGCCTGCCAGGAGTTTGGCGACTTCGAGCTCCGCGTCCCCGAAGTCTCGAGCACAAGTACCCAGCATGTGGGACGTTCTGAAAAGGGAATGGTTTCCTCAACGCCCTGGGCCCTAATCCCTCAACCCAAAAACCCAAAGACCCCAAACCCTGGACGCTAACCCCCCTAAATTCAGACGCAAAAGAGCTCTCAAACAAAAAAAGCCTTCAATTCTGTAGGATGGTGAAGGTCCTTATCATGACGCGACAACGCGGAATCCTGCTGAAAGATCTGCTGGACCAGGACTGTGGGCTTCTTTTATGATGCTGGTTTAGGGTTTAGGGTTTGGGGATTAGGGATTAGGGTTTAGGGTTTAGGGTTTGAGGATTTTTGGTATTTCGGGTTTGGGGTTTAAAGGTCTATGGCTTATACAAATGATGATGTGGGGCGGTAGGCCCTACAGGACTAGAAGTCATAGACTTCGATGTAGACAGCTTTATGACATGTGGCCCAGCTTGGAGGATTCACAGATGGACCGGGCGATCAAGTTGACATGGATGCGGAGAGTGCTGTGACTCGGTAAACGGGATGCCGAAAACCCCAAAAACCTCATCCAAAAGTCCTAACCGGTTATCCCTGAACCCGTTTTGTTTGTACAATCCTTAAGCCTTAAGCGCTTCGTCTCTGGTAAACCCCCCCCTCTGATCCCAGAGGACTCGAAGACCTAATGTCTGTAGACCCCAAATCCCAAGCCGTCAATCCTGAAGCCTTACTCTTACAATCTGAACCCGAAGCCCTAAACCTCAGGCCCTAAATCAAAAACAACTCTGAACCCCAAACCCCCAACCCTCAACCCTCAACCATGAACCCAAAGCCCCACACCCTGAACTTTGAACTCTGAAGCCTGAGCCCTCAACACTCAATCTTGAACCCGGAGCCCTTAAGTCCTTGCAGAGCCTGATTCTCAGGCGTCTCTGGGGTGCTTTTACACTGGGCCTGGGCTGGTTCCACTCAGACCCTTGGCGTCAAAGTTTGAGGCTTTAGGGTTTAGGGGTTCAGGAGATATTTTGCATGGGTGCCAAAAGGTTAGGGTGTAAGGTTGACGGCCTAGCATTCGGGTTCTTCCAATTAGGGTGTCCACGAGGTCTTGATAAGTGTTGACAGAACCAGGATTTAGGGGGTGCTGGCTTGTTGTGAGGGCACAAAACAGGCATCAGAAGGGTTTGTGAGGCTTTGTGATGAGGGTTGAAGGGGTATCTGGTTTAAAGTTCTGGTGGGGCTTCAAGGGTTTGGGTTCAAGGTTTCCCTAAGATGGTTGTTGGGCATGTAGTTGTGATTTTGATACGACCTCCAAAGACCCACGACAACAGACCTGTGCCTTGGGTATGCCTCTTTCGGTGGTTAGGTGAACTACTTGAGTGGCGGACGGATTTGCAGAAGATCCTCCAGTCTGGATGAGTGCCGCGATGAGTGTTTTTCGGTTTGTTGATATCGGAGGATCCGCATCCGGGCAACCTGATGATCTCTGAGGAGCTCAGTTTTGCGATGCAAGCTCTGGTTTAAGGCTTGGGCTTCTCCGGTTTTCAGAGGAGGATCGAGTTTCCAATTTGCTTCGCTGCAGGACGGCTCGCTGGTGCTTCTTGACTGGGGGTCTGTCACGGTGCTTCGCCAAGACCAGCTGGAGGTGCAGTGCATTTTTGTCAGCTGTCCGGGGCAACCCTGACCCTTAACCTCAAGACTCTAAACCCTTCTTCTGTGTCTTACTGAGCCCAGTAACAACCCAAATCCGAGTCCTGAAGATATTTTGTTTGTGTTTAAAGAGGGTCCATCGTCTTCTTGCTGCTTTTATGATTGTCGCTCTGGGTTACCGAAATTTCCCTGGCTTCTGTCCCCCTGCGTGTCACAGGAGCTTCGTGCACTCTTCAACGCGTTGGCGCAGCGTCCAATCCAGGCATGGGATGTCGGGTACCGGGATTAGGGATTGCCGTATGGACTTGACCTTCGTCATTTTTTACTAGAGACCAAACTGTGTCTTTGGCATTCTGTAGCGATGGGAAGACACACAGTCGAACTAAGTTTTTAAATGGTGGGGCACAGCTGCTGCCGGCAAACAACCTGCAAAAGGGCCACCTTGACTCTGACTCCAACATACCCTAAACCTCTAAACCCGTAAGCCCTAAACCCTGAGCCCTAAAACCCTAAACCCCTAAACCCCTGAACCCTAAACTGCGTTCGGTGTCGGTGTTCTGGAGGGAGTCAGCAGTCTTTCGGATTGCTCTGGGTGCCTGAGCCGTACGGTGGATTTAAGGGCTTAGGGTTAGCGACCCCAAAACCGAAGTCCTGAACCCTCAACTGAAGATGCAAGTTCCGCTTCGGTGTCTCTCTCCTGCCATCTTGACAGAGGCGGCCTCTGTGACTTCGTCGATGCGCCGTTTGCAGCTGCGGACGAAAAAGGCGCCCGATGACATGCCGTTGCGATTTTCGATGGGGCTACTTCTGCATCCAGTCCGAAGAGATACCATGACCATCCACAGGACACAGATGCCGGCTTATTCGGGGTCGCAGTCTCCACCTTGGCCATGGACATCCTCGTCTTCCCAGACGTACAAGAAGCTTTGGGAGAGGAGGAGGAACCTGCCGGCGGATCGAGCAGTTTTTAGGTATGGGTTTGGGGTTTAGGGTTTAGGGTTTAGGGTATAGTAAGGATCCGTACGAGACCTTGACCCCCAAAATCTATACTTCGTGTGCTCCGTCTTGCGGAAGCAGGACCCGCCGAAGCACATCCCGCAAGAAATGGCACAGCTGATCCGATTCTGGGTCGCATTGAATCGGCAAGTGTCGTTTCGAAAGGGCTTAGGCTCAGGGGTTTAAAGTTTTGCATAATATCACAAATTGACAGCCCTACCTGAGCCATGCAGACGCTCGGCCCGAACACCCTGGACTATAATTCTTGAAACTCACAGCCGTATGCAACGTCTAAGCCCACAAAACGACAAAACGGACGACTCGAGCCATTAACAGCACTCCCAAAGCCTCTGCTGACATGAAAGTTCCTTCCCTGTCCTCTCAACGACCTGCATCAAAGCTCACAAGCCCATGAACCTGAAACCCTATACCAGGTGTGGTGGCTACGCTGGAAGGCTCCGCATCCCGCTGTGGCCGCTGCTTGCGAGTGCTTCCCCTCTGGTCTCCGATCTTGAGCAAGGCAAGCGGAGATGAATTTTGCTAGGGATTAGGGATCCCTCAAGTCCTAATGTGGGGGGGACTAGGTGGGCTTTCGCATTCACGCAACTTCGCAGTGCAGAGTGTTTCCCTCTCAAAGGCAGCAAGTCAGGCGAAAAGATAGGGTTTAGGGTTTGGAGTTTAGGGTATGATACCCTAAACCCATCATCCTAGACCCTATGAGTCGGGTGCATATTCCTAAACCCTAAACCCTAAACCTATTAGTGCTGTGAAGTAGCGGGCATTGGGGATCTTGGCCCTAGAAGTCGACCGATTCTGCGACTGACGGAGTGCCATTCCAAAATCAGCAATTTAGGGTTTAGGGTTTAGGGTTTAGGATTTAGGGTTTAGGGTTTAGGGTTTAGGGTTTAGGGTCATCTTACTATCTCCCTAACCCTCCAGGTTCCTACTATATAGGGCCCTAGGGGCTCTAGTACCCTACATAGTAGGTACCTGGATAGTTAGGGTCTATTGGGACTGTTGGCAAAGCACTGTTCCATAGCTGGTCCTACTACACCATAATCAGTACATAGTGGCATAGTACTTCTAAGTGGATGAAAGCAACAAGCTAGTATGCGCTTCACCAGCCAGATGGTAGTGCAGAGGCCTTCTGTGTTGCGGCGATAAAAGCATGGCTCCAAACGATGCCAGACAGCCATCCTATGATACAGACATTGCGAAGATAAAGTCGGACTATCTTCCCCACTTGACATGCCTTGCAGAGTACGAAGCCTCGAGTGGCAGTCGCAAACAGCAGCTTGACGAGGAGTATGGTCCAAGTGCAGCTGTTCAAATCGCCAAGTTTCATGTGGAGTTTGACGATTTCCCGGCTGGTATGCCCGATGACTTGAAGAAAGTCTACCTGGAGGCCTTCAAGGCGGGCTACATCATCGCGCGCACCCAGCCATGGTTGAAGGCAAAGTGGATGAGGGATGACTACATTCCACTGGCCAGGATGAAGTATTATGGCAACCAGGGAAGCCAAGAGCACATGCAAGAGCTCCTCCGTCGCTCGCATGGGTATCCTTGGCACCTGGCGCCAGAGGGCAAGGGAGCCGTGATAGACTGGCGTGAGCAATGCGACGACGATCAGTTCAAGAAGTCCATGGGATATGGGACAAAACAGATTTCGAACTTCAGCAACTTTCCCGGCAGGAAAGATGTGCTGACCTGGGGCACCACACATGTGGCAGTTGGGTTCAACGACCTGATCGTGCTGCTCAAGTCCCGGCTTGTTGCGGATGGCTCTTCGAAAACTGCTTTGAAATTCATTGGCATTGACAGCAGCGCCTATTCCGTTGCGAAGACGAAGGTTCTGTGGCAGATGATGATGGACAGGTCCACGCCCATCTTCTCAATTATTGAAGTTTGGTTCTCAGCTACCTGGACCAGGTCCACACTCGATTTTTTCCGTTTGGCCTTGAACCAGGTGGTGTCGGAGATGAAGATCAAGTCTGTCCCTTTGAATGCTCCATGCACTTATCCCGTTGTTGAGGGGCGTGGCGTTACGGTGCATGGACTTCAGAGTGAGAAGGGTCAAAAGCTGAACGGCCAGCGAGGTATCGCCGGATCCTGCACCGAGGGTCGTTGGGATGTCTTCGGCGACGGTTGGAAAGCCAGGGTCAAGGTGGAGAACCTGGTGCCGCTTGCGATGACCGTAGCTGTGGGCAGTTCTGTCGAAGTTCACGGGCTGATGAAGTTGCCAGAGCTGAACGGACACATCGGGACGGCCGTGGGTTTTGATGTCGCCTCGGGCCGCTGGATGGTGCAAGTCGACTGCCGGGAGCAGCTCGTACTGATCCGTGAGGCCAACCTTAATTGGATGGCTTCTCCTAAAGAGTCGGGCCATCCCCACCTGGAAGAGGTCCGGCCTGTTGCGCAATTTCTGCTGTACTGGCTGCAATGCTTCGAACAGAGAAATCATTACACTCTGGAGGAGGCAAGACGGCAGTGGTGGAAAGTGCAGATAAGTGAACTCCCCGAGCGCGAGACGCACATTGCAGGGTGCCTCTGCCGCCAGAAGGACCAGAAGGCCACCTTGAAGTACCTCTGCTCTGGCGACGTGTTCCTGGATCAAACTGCTGCCGCTGGGGATGTGTCCAGCGATTGTATACCCTATGTTGGGAGCCTGTGCATGTGGAGCTTACCTGAGACCGCACCCAGCATGGAAAAGGGATTCGCGCTGGGCTGTATCAGCACGGAGGATTATTGCCGCGCCTTGCTGGGTGATGCAGGTGAGGCTGTGGAGCCAAGCTTCTCTTTACAGGCCCTTGAATCGTCTCCGAACAAGCATTTCGATGTTATGCAGTGCTTTACATGGTTCATTTCCAAGCGCATACAGCTCACCGTTCGCCAGAACGGATCATCGTGGAAAGGGGAGTTTCTTTGTCAGAGAGTTTGCTGGGAGAACCGTCCTCTCCTAGACAAGATATGGAAAGAAACGCCCTACACCATGAGCTGGGATAACGTGGTGGATTACATGAAGCCGACTACCTTCCACAGCATCGCCCGGTGGTGTTCGCGAGCGGGTGATACCGTGCATTATGCGTACAGCATGAACTACCCATGTGAGACCCGTGGAGCCAACATTATGGACTGGGGGACGCAGGCCGATCCGAATGATCGGCAGAGTCGCGCATACTGGGTCGACAAGAGCTTGGAACGGTCGCAGAATGGAGGGTGCGTGCATTCCATGGAGCGTCTCCAGAGGATTTGGGAGTTCGCTTGCAATGCCCTCTACACCAAACCATATCGCTGCGACCCGGAAATCTGATCAATTATACACTCCTCGCTTCTCTAGGCCTGGATGAGCAGTGGGTGAATCACTTCATGAACAAGGGAAGGATCTCGCAAGAGCAGGTGTCGAAGCACCCGGAATGCACAAAGGACAACGTGGGGCTTTCGGTGTTTTCTTCGCTGATGGGCCTTGAAAGCCCCTTCCAGCGAAGCTCCACCTGTGTGACCTTTGCCTGGACGTATGATCCCATGATCCGAGGAATGGATTTCGCGACCGGCGTGGAATGCCCCAAGTAGTCACCGGTCTTGGCCCAACTGTGGTCTCTGCAACGAAGTTCCGAGTTGCGATCAAGGGGAAGAGTTTGGGCTTTTGGGCTTTTGACTTAGGAGCTCCTCCGGAGCCCCCTTTTAGGAGCTCCCGTCCTTGCCTGGGACTTAGCCCGCAAAGGACTTCCTAGTCTACTCAGCTCCCAGATTGGAGTCCGCTCTTGTCTTGCATTGTAACATTCCCAACCATAAACCCCTACATCTTGAACAACCAGTGTCTAACGACCCTGAGGATGCTGCACTAGCCCGATGGGGTCTTTGCACCCTAAACCCTAAACCCTAAACCCTAAACCCTAAACGCCTCAACCCGCCTAAACAAATGTCACAGGGTTTCAGGTCTCAGGGTGGCAAGTTGTAGTATTTCGTGCTTTGTTGTTCCGGTGACAGGGGTGCTCCACATCTTGGCCATCTTTCTGCTGAGAGGTCCACAAAGGGAAGGAAAGCATATTCAAGCATCAATAAATAGATCAAGTCAGACAGAACAACCATCTGACAGTATGACCTGACAGTATGACCCATTATCTGAGGAACTTCCTAGTCAGAACGACCTAGTTATTCCCTTGTTCGTTGCAGGCCCCGGACGGCGTTGATGCCTTACCTCTCATCGCTGGCGTGCGTCACTCGATCAGCACCAACTGGGGTTTGATGCAAGCCATTCTCACGCATGCAATCGTTCTTGTTCTTCTTGCCATCGAAATGGTTCTCACGACCCGTATTTTTCGTTCTGCTTTCTACATGCCCTAAGCCCTGAACCCTCAACCCGAAACCGTTACAAAGAACCCTAAACCCTAAACCCCGTAAACCCTAAACCCTAAACCCTAAACCCTAAACCCTAAACCATAAACCCTAAACCCCCTAAACCCAAAGCCGTTCCATGGTCAAAGACCTGCAGGCAACGACGGGGTCTGTGAGGAAGCCGAGACTGGAGCCTCCAGGCTCGAGCCGGGGTTCGGTGTTCGATAGGGTTTAGGGTTTAGGGGTTTAGGGGTTTAGGGGTTTAGTTTTTAGGGTTTAGGGGTTTAGGGGTTTAGTGTTTAGGGTTTAGGGTTTAGGCTTTGTGGTTTAGGGTTTGGGATGTATTGCCCCAAACCCAAACCCGAAACCCTAAACCCCGAACCCAAAACCCCAAACCCAAAACCACAAAGCCTAAGCCCCAAACCCAAACCCCCCGAAACCGTGACAAGAATCTTTATAGGTAGTTCCCTAAACTAGGGTCCCGTTTAGGATCCGTATGATTTGGGGACTTTAGAGAGGGACCCCAATTTAGAGAACTACACCCTAAACCCTAAACCCTAAACCCTAAACCCACACTTATAGGGAATCAGCTCCAACTTGATGAGGCTCAGGAAGCCCCGATGGATGCCGTCCTTTTCCAGGCGGGTTCAGGGCTTTAGGAATGTAGGATTCGGGCTGTAGGCTCTAGGGGTTTAGGGTTTAGAGGGTTCAGGACTTGGGCTTTTTTTCAGTGGTTTCGGTTCCGGCTTTCACCGAGAACCGACTCTGCGCAGACCTGCTTCAGAAGTTCGAGCTTTGGGAAGTTCGTGATGATTTCTGCACGAATTGCATTCGCAGTGAGGTGGGGCCAGCTGAGCGATGAAGAGCTTCGAGAAAAGTTCTGCGAGCTTGACGCGGACAAGAGTGGGAAGTTGAGCCGGCTCTGTTCTCAGTGATTCCACGCTTGCCTATCATGCCGGTCGCTTCTGAGCATGTTTCGAGATCCACCGTGCAAGATTCCTACAAGGCAGGAAGCAGAAGACGCATTGTTGAAGCTGGGGCGATCAGTTGCGGACATCGAGAAGGCTTTTGACGTTTGATACTGTCGCAACCCCCCAAAACCCCAAACCCTAAGAGCTAAACCCTACGCCCCAAAAGTTGCCGGGTGTCGTGAGGAGCTGAGCAGCTGGCCTCCAGAAGAAGGTATCGACTTGCAAGCATTCAGGCGATCCATGCCCCTCTCGGAGCATTCTGTGCTCCATGTTTCGTGTAGGGTTTAGGGTTTAGGCCCTAGGCCCCTAGACCCTGAAGCTCAAACCCTAGACCCCTCAACCCTGGAGGCAGCTAGCCAGGGCAAGCGCACCTTCCTGGCGGCCCAGCTTCCCGGCGAAAGCTGCTGTGGATGAAAGCAAGGCCTGACCCCCGAAACTCGAGAGTTTCGGGGTGCAGATGCTTCTTGGGGTATGTTCAAGGTTTCCTACCAAAAAGGGCTCTGTTTGGGCATCCTTTAAAGGTGTCTACAATGCAACAAGGCTTCTACCGGGGTTTGGAGTTTGAAGCCCTAAACCCTAAACCC